GACAATTTTTTCCGGCAACATGTTTTTGTAATTTATGAGAAGCTTTTAAGCGAAGATATGTATATTTTGATAAAAATTACATATTTCAGCTCAGCAAAATTTTTGGAAAAGTTTGTGTAAGGAATGTACGCCGAGCCTCTATCTTTTACAATTCTATTTTATTTAGTACATGGGTGGATTCGCAATTCTCTATTGATAACTTTCTGAAACCTCGCTTCGCGTCTGCTTTTTCGCACGTTCGGACAACAAGTACATACATATATAATAAGTGCTCCTCGGTAGTTATGGAGTTTCTACAGACGTTTCCAAATAAATCCTGCTTTGGTCATTTTAACAGGGCCCGGTTATAAAAGTATTCGCGGGGCCCGAGCTCGATCTTGTTCGACCGCGCAGATAGCGTACCTGACTTTCCTTCGTTTCAAGTGTCCTTCGACCTTTTATACTTTGTCCTTGTCTTACAAATGTTTCTTTTTATTTTTCCCAACTTTTCTGTTACGTGCAATTCCTTGTGTCAGAAAGCCGAAAGTAGGGTGGGCGCAAAATTATTCAATCTTTTAATTAGTGTTACATAAGTAAATGTGGTCCAAGTTATATTATGTTTGAGCTCATTTTAATTAGAAAAATCTCACCAATATTAAAGAAATTTTCAGTCAGAAAATATTTAAATTAAAGGAATTATATTATTGTATTATGTTGCGTGTCGCGCATCGTATTACACACATCGCATGCTTTTGACTGATTCCGAGAAAGATAACATAGACGTAGGAGCTCTAGTAGCGACAATGTGAGAAACGTTACTGTATGTATGAGCCGTTTAACGCGAAAGTGGTGTTAGTCAAAAATGGCGATTTCTAGGTAATGAGGGATAAAGTAAAAGTTCGGTAAAATTCAGGAATATGAAAGAATGTTACATCTCTTTTATGTAAGCCATTGTATAGTTATACCTTAAGCTAATAATGCCTTTTTGCCCCTAAAATCAAGTGTATATACATACAATCATTTTATTCAATATTCTTCCGACTTATACCATTTTCGTGCGAACCGAGGAGGTAATTATTATTAGACGTAATAAAAAAGGGATCTCTTTGTTGAGGTAGACATTATGTTTCTACTGCTTTATTAATTACCAAACAAATGAATAAAACGTATAAAATGTGGTTTACATTGTCACGAATTTAAATCGTAAAATAATAACGAGCATGATACGGAAACTTTGTGGATAACGCTTCTTCTTCGAAATCCAGAAGTCCAATGTCATTTATCTCACACCAAAGACCGACTTACACCGTTTTTGCATACAGCGTCCATGCCATTCGAATAGGTGATTCTTACTTATTTTGCCATCCACTGAGAAACTAACGAAGATATTCTTATACCACTTCTGCACAAAATCCAAGGAAGGTTAAGCTTTCGAGATGTGGTGTTAACTCGAAGAGGCAAAAAAATGACTTACATCACTTTTGCATTAAACGGCTAATATATTGCATATTCATATAATAATATTATCACGAATAGGAAATTACGTAGAATTATTCAAATAGTATGAAATTAATGTCATATTAATATTATTAGTAAACTTCTTATAACAAGTAAACGATTAAAATGCCCTTCATTTATAAATTTAGATGAAAAACAGTGTTAAATATACATTAAGCTAATATACATATAAAATGAAAAAACAGAATTTACATTACCAGTATGTAAAATTTTATCGTATAATAATTGTAGGTAAATATTGTGAATATTATTCACATAAAATTTACTTCTTTTTTCAAATTACAAATTAGTTATAATTCCTTTATTTACATCTAAATTTTGTTTATTTAAAGAATTTCATAGGAAATAAAATAAATGGTAGTTAAACACAAGAATGTTACAAGGAATTAGACGTTTTTCTAGTTATCCTTGATGGACTGTATTTGTTTCCTGTTATGTGCAGGCATAGTTTAATAATATTATTGTAGATCAGTCCATGAAACACGTCTTCTTGGTGATCGATTGACGAGGAAACATATTAAATTTGTTTTTTTTTGCATTTTCTTAGAAGAATTTATAAACAGTTTGTTGAAAATACATGTATTCAATTTTTGAACGTTAAGTGAATAATTTGCAATTATTCATTAAGCTAATAAGATCTTTGACGTCAGAAATCGCTTTTCTTTCCGTGGTACGAGGAGAACGTCAACACTATCGAAGGTCTTTGCGTGCAAAGTTCACCTTTCACAGTCAAATTCTTTACTTTTTCAGTATATGCACAATGCCATAAGCGTCCTTTGCCTATTGATAATGATATATTAAATATAAATTACCTGGATACTTTGTGTTTCTTAGTGTAATAACGCAGTTATTCTCAGAATATTCTTAATTCTTAATTTCTGTTATCAATAGTTCGTTAGTTTCATTTACTGTTAATTTTCTTCACATTATTAACTTTGTTGTAAAGAATTATCATTTATTTGATGAAAAATGAATCTTAGTTACTGCTGGACTCTTGCTGTTTCACTCATTGTTTAAATAATGCAACAAGTGGCATAAATAAAGAAAAAGCTGCTGCAAGAGGTTGCACATCAGTCGTACAATGAAATCATAATACTAACGAATTACCATTACGATAAAAATAATCGAACTAATCGTTGATAAAACTTTCGAGAAATTCAAGAGTCAATCGGAACAAAGTACAAAACATCGAACTGTATTATCTGTTTCATAATTCCG